AAACAGTTTGTCACAGCCCCTCGTTTGTTGTCCTCTTCTCTCTCTCTGCCTACGGTTTTACCGGGCAGTTCTGTTTGTGACGATATATATATATATAGGTTCAGCCTCCTGATGAGTCGGTGAAACTCCGATGAAACAGTTTGTCACAGCCCCGTGTCTTTTGTCCTCTTCTCCTCTCTGCCTACGGTTTACGGGGCAGCTTTGTTTGATGATATATATACCGGGCAGTTCTATTTGACGATATATATATATGTCACAGCCCCTCGTTTGTTGTCCTCTTCTCTCTCTCTGCCTACGGTTTACCGGGCAGTTCTATTTGTGACGATATATATATATATATTTGACGATATATATGACGATATATATATATATATATATTTATATATTTGGTGCAAATGTGGGAATTCCACGGATAGGATTAGGATAAGGATTAGGATAAGGATTAGGATAAGGATTAGGATAAGGATAAGGATAGAGTGCATGTGACTAACACAGAACCTACGCATGTTGTGTGCTCTTTGTCTCGTTGCCTTCTCTCTTCCCCTTCTGTTTTCTGTTTTAGGAAATAGTTTAGACGTATGATCCTTTTCTTCTTCTTCTTCTTTGGCTCCTGATTTCTCCTCCTTCTCGTGTCTCTTTTCTTTCTTTTCTTGCCCCCCTGCCCCCCCCTCTGTCGCGGTCCTTATCTCTCTTGGCATGGTTTGGGGTTGCTGGCTGGCTGGCTCTTCCTTCTTCTTCAGGGTGCAACATCAATTGGGGCGATTGCAGGATTGGCTATTGCGCTAGTGTGCACATGGCGTTATATCAGTCAAGCGCGTGGCCGAAGACGAGCTGGGAAGAGGGATGGTGCGCCCCGAAGACCGGGATCTGGATCAGGCCACGACTCCGACCTGGCATCGGCATCAGGAGTCTCCAGAACTATCACTCATGCTTCAAAGAGGGGAGGGGATAAACATGGTCTGAGAGAATCGTCTCCCCCTGTCCAGGTGAGGAGCCAAATGAAGACAACAAATCGAGTTTGCCGCTTTTTCCTTTCCTGCTGTTTTGCCTCTGCTGCTTCCTCTGCCTTACAATCAGGGGGCGCGGGAGGGGTGTGTGGAAAAGGGAGGGGGGGGGTTGGAAAGGGGGAGGGTTCGAAAGATGGGAGGGGGGAGATGAACCGGCATTGAGAGAGTTGTCTCCCCTTTTGCAGGTGAGCCGAACCAACAGAACAACTCAAGTTTGCTGCTGCTGCT